TCGAGTAAAGTTTCGAGCCCGAAATGGAATGATTTGAAGGAGTCTAGTCCCAGTAGGAGTCAGCCTGTGCCTCCTGATTGGTGGTTTGAGGATGTTTCAATCCTCAGGATCGATCACTTTGTGAGGGTCGTTACGGCGATCAAGGTGAAGGGAATGCGGTTCGAATTGATCGGGGCATCGATAATGCATTACGCGGCGAAATGGATCCCGGTATTGATAAAAGATGGTCAGGGTCAGGGGCCAGCTGATGATATGATGAGCATTAGCAGCAATAGTAATAGCAGCTGTGGAAGCAGTAGTTGGAAAGGTGGACTTCATATGATTGTAGCCGGAACAAAGGATGAAATTCCTTCGATTCAGTCAAAAGATCAACGAATGATCAGCGAGAGTCTGATTAGCATAATCCCACCGCAGAAAGACAGTGTTTCCTGCAGTTTTCTTCTTCGGCTTTTGCGGACGGCAAACATGTTGAAAGTGGCACCAGCTTTGGTAACCGAATTGGAGAAGCGGGTTGGGATGCAGTTCGAACAAGCTACGTTGGCGGATCTCCTCATTCCTTCTTACAATAAAGGCGAAACCATGTACGATGTTGACCTTGTTCAGAGACTGTTGGAACATTTCCTTGTTCAAGAACAGACAGTAAGTTCCAGCCCAAGTAGACCACCATTTTCGGACAAACACATGTATGAAGGAACACAAAGGGCCAATAATCCGAATGCAAAGATGAGAGTTGCCAGGCTTGTTGATAGTTATCTTACAGAGGTTTCGAGAGATCGAAACCTGTCACTCACAAAGTTTCAGGTACTCGCTGAAGCTTTGCCCGAGTCCGCTAGGACATGCGACGACGGTCTTTATCGAGCTATTGATTCGTATCTTAAGGTAATTTCCTTATCGTACTGCAAATGGTATATCACTGAGATCAAATGATTGCTTTAGGCAATGTAGGTAGTAATGTAAATGTGAAACTTCGGCAATGTAGGTAGTTGTCTTACTGCAAATGTATTCTCATTTGTGGGGTAACAAAATTCAATTGCAGGCACATCCGACACTCTCCGAGCATGAAAGGAAGCGACTCTGCCGTGTGATGGACTGCCAAAAGCTGTCGATCGACGCCTGCATGCATGCCGCACAAAACGAACGGCTCCCGTTGCGAATCGTGGTGCAAGTTCTCTTCTCAGAGCAAGTCAAGATTAGCAATGCATTGGCCAACAGCACACTCAAAGACACTGTGGAAACTCAATACCAGCCATTGATACCGAACCACAAGACATTACTGGAAGCTACTCCACAATCGTTCCAAGAAGGATGGGCGGCCGCCAAGAAGGACATCAACACACTCAAATTCGAGCTGGAGAGCATCAAGGCCAAGTACCTGGAGCTCCAAAACGACATGGAGAACTTGCAACGACAATTCGATAAGATGTCGAAGCAGAAACAAACGTCGGCATGGACCACCGGATGGAAGAAACTTAGCAAACTCACTAAGATGATACCCGTGGAAAACCAAGACATCGGACCTCAAATGTCGACAGAACAGACAAGAAAGGCACCAGGAAGATGGCGAAATTCGATTTCATAAACAGGAAAGGCGCCCTTACTACTCTACATCTCCATCCTGTGTTTTTTCTAAAATTTCGAGGAACTGCAGTGTTCATGTCTTCATAGTGATTACCATGATAAAGAAAAATGGTAAAAAAGAAAACCACCATGAAACAATAAGTTGAAATTGTCATTCAGAATTTGTTTGGTGTTTTTATGTGTGAATTCATATCCGTTAAATCAAATATGACACGGGCTTGAATCTCGACACTCGGTTCTCCAACCATTGAATTCTGATTTCATTAGAAAATTTTTATGTTCAGTCAAATGGAACCCTGAAAACAATGGTTTCAATGATTTCTTCAAGGAAAAGACGGCTCTCCAACCATGAAATCACCGTAACCATCTTTCTTTTCACAAACATACATGCGACATGGAATGGATATGACAACAAGAACCACAATGACTTGGCAGATAAAGAAGACGACAACAATTTTGTCCAACTCAATAGTCTAAAAATAAATTATAATTTTTATTTCTGTATTATATTTTTTTATAGAAGTGGTTAATTTTTTTAAAAATAAAAAATATATCGTATTATAATAAAAATTTACAATTACAATCGTAAATTAAGTACTTAATTTGGACAATTTCCTATAATTATTATAACAAAAACTAGTAACTTAAGATCACGTAAAAACCATACAAAGAAAGATTAAAGATCTAACCAAGAGACACGAAGAAATATATGATCACATCGACAAAAGAACCACAAAATGATACCAAACGATTGAAAGGCTACCAATAAATCCAAAATTAGACTCGAGCGACATGAAAGATATCTACGAATGCAAATCGAGTATCCAAAATAGCGAATATCAACAAGATAACAGATCAACATTATCTTTATCAGTCGTGGGATATCAAATCAACCTTTAAAAAAGATAAATAAAAAAGGCCAAAGAACCGAAAACAACCAAAATGCAGAAGAAAACGTGCTGTAACGACATATGAAAACGTACCATACAGACAACTTTATTGAAAAAATAAGTAAATAAAAATACGATATAAGAAAATGAAATGATAATAAAAAATATCGACGGTCGGTAACTAACATTAAAATTAATATTGTCGTTGATCAACAAAGAATAAAAAGAATAAAAATGAACGTATACCAATGAGATAAAACTAGATTCTGAAAGAGAAAAGAGATCACATTATCAATAATAATTAAAATACTATGAGAATAATTATTTTAATTAAAGCATGTTATTCGAAATAAGGCTACCATGGTAATCCTATATTATACTCGAATGAAATCAACAAAAAGTTTAAATTTCGAATTAGTCCATATAATAAAAATAATTATAATGAATACATTAATAATTATTTCAATATCTAATTATAATTGTAGAACCAAGTTTCGAATCATACCCCATCACTTTTTGATAGACAATCTGTAAATTCTTATATAAATTTCAATTGAATCTTAGTTATGTTTTGGCGAGCCACTCCTCATCTAAACTCTTTTGTATAAAAAAATAAAAAAAATAACAAAATCTTTGAGTAGCTTCCTGATTTGCTCCAATGTCACAAACAGCACCACCGTGGATGGCCCCTGCCGTGATATTGTGGGGATGAACCCTTTATACAATGCCATGAGCCCCTCAGTCCTCACCGTCTTTAGCACACAATCCACAGCACCTGAGTACGGCGGCTCCACCCGAGGCGCCACCTTCATGTTCATCACCCTTGTCTTGATCACGTCAATGGGGTTCGACGCCACAGCCGCCACAAACCCTGCCGCAAAGGTGAATGTGACATGGGTTCCGATCCCATCACTCTTTTCTCTATTATCATCTCCTTTACCTGGTCATACTTCGCCAGCTGCGACGCGGTGGCGATCATTGTACGGTTCACCGCAAACGCTGAGCCCCTTCACAAACTGCAAACGCCTTCTTGTTTCGTCATATGGCCTAACGCATTAAGTAAGCTCTTGTAATTACGTCGCTGATCAATAGGAAGACGCCCATCAGCTTGCATACGATCCATTGCTACGTCGGCAGGGTTTCCCCCCCCCCCCCCGCGCCAAAAGACCAGCGATGATCATGCTTGTAAGTGGCAAATTCCCAATTTCTTTATCAGTCCATTTGTTTTAATGTATATCGTAAAGTCCCATACGGGTAGTGGAATACAAGGTTTTACGGAGTATGGTAGCTGATAGGGTGTTCAAATAACTGAACTAATCGGTTCGGTTATCGAATTAGTTCGGTCGGTTAACAGTTAATAAAATTTTTAGATTTGATTAACGGTTAAATTAGTTCAAAATCGGTTAATTAACCGAAATTAAATTTTAAATATTAAATATATTATATATAACATATGAGCTCAGTTCAAACCATTTAAAATCCAATTAATAATTTAAGATCCAATAACTTTTAAACCTAAATCAATATTAATTAATTAAAAAATTTATATTTTATAATTATATATTATTTAAATTAAATGTAAAATGTTTTTTAATTAAAAAATATTATATATTATATATAACATATAAGCTCAACCCAAACCATTTAAAATTCAATTAATAATTTAAGATCTAATAATTTTTAAACCTAAATCAATATTAATTAATTAAAAAGTTTATTTGAAAATTTTATTTATATATTATTTAAATTAATTATAAACTTTTTTTGAATTAAAAAATATTTAATTTTTATATGAATTAGAAAATTTGTAAAATTTTTAGTTAATTCGAAAATTAACCGAAATTGATTCGGTTCGGTTAATATTTTTGAAAAAAATTCGATTCTATTAACAGTTAAAGAAAAAAAAATTCAATTAATTTGATTATAATTAATTCGGACACCGATGGAGATGGGACCAACACGAGGCTAAGAAACAGCTTGGGAGATTGAAACATTCCAGACGGCGGCGGATTTCAAAGAAAATTGAATTATCATTGACATTTATAATCACCTCTCCTACTGTACATGAACAATCTAGACTGATAAATCAAATATAATTTTGCTTGAACAGATGCAAGCATTTGAAAATTAAAACATTAACCAACCTCCAAGTTCAACCCCCTTCCTCAAAACGATTCAAAAATCAGTCATTTCTTAATGGCCACATATAGTGCCTTGTAATATGGATGATTGCCTTTGGGCTATGACTTTGAATTGCTATATACCAGCTCACTTGTCCAAAGTTTTGTGATTCTTTACATCAAATTTTGGTGTCGGAAGACATCAATTCTGCCTGGAAGGGGAACCAATAAGCTTTTACCAGTGAAAGGCCAGTCTTTCTTCATTCATATTAATCCCAATTTTGATAATTTTTCATTTGTTCTCTAAACTAGGATTTTTAGTATCACATGAAATTTTAAAATTGTATCACGACAGAGACCAAAAATAGACATTATTAGAAGAAAAAGTCACCACTGAAACAGCTACGTTGTACGTGAAATACATGCTCATATAAATGCTAATAACGTTCATACATGCCACACGATAATATTGTACTATTCATGGCACAAATTATTCGGGATGCATTATTTCTCAATAGTCACCAAATGCCTACTACTCACTGTGCGCTTAGGACTTCAATCTCGAAGTCGAGAACAGAGTTTGGCTGTATTCCCCATGCAGGAAATCCATCAGCACCATAAGCATAGTCAGGAGAGCACTGTAAACATCAACGAGATCAATCAGAAGCTTCAACAAAAAATAGTTTCTCCTCGGCATACCAAGGGAGACGATAAGTGTCGATTAAACATTACCATAAAAAACAAGGCATCAGTTTAGTAGAACTAAGTACACTCAGATTGAATTCAGAATTCAGTAGAACAGTACCCGAAGACGAGCAACTTCTCCCACTTGCATTCCCAGCACACCTTCATCCCATCCTACAGAAGATTGAGTATAGCATTTAGTTCTCCTAAATGGGGTACTACTAGGTACCGCACAATAAGGAAAGTATATACATGCAGCAACAAAAAAAATTCAAATAACATAAGTATTATTTCTTCTTTCTCCTTTTCTCTATTGATATTGAGTTCAACCTACATGCACATTATAATCCTGTTCTAAATAATATTTTCCTTTACACCATCTCAATCTGAGACCACCTCTTCTAAGACAAAACGAGTATGCCACCGACCAATAAAGAGGTTTGTGGTCTCGCATTAAGTTATAAACATACATCCGTCATCTATTAATTAAACTTCTAAATAGGGAAAAATAAAAACCATGAAACTTCTCAATCTCAAAGGTCAATGATGTCGGGTCAACATGAAAAAAGACACTTGGATCCCTCAGAACTGAAGAGGTAAGCATATTCTATAGAATGGTGTACTTAACATAACAGCATTACATTCTGTCAAATAATAATGAAACGTTGCGACTCAAACCCAGGCTATTCCTGGGGGGCAATAGGCCAAACGCTGAATAAGAAAGAGAAAAGATTGTATAAAATAGTTTCTACATCAGTATTATACATATCTTCCATTCAAATCATGCAACACAAAATACCAGGTGAAACGCAATTAGACAAAAGCATAGGTGTGAGAGATGACACTCATAAAAACTTTTACTAGATCACAGCCACCATTCGAATTGGAAATTCATACACCAAACTTCCACATGCAACTCAAACCAATGCATTCTCATTCATTAATCAAAATAAGCTTTCTACTTTGGGGGGAAAAAACAAAATTAGTTGGACATCCGTATATTATCAAACAATAGACAATCAAGATTTACCTTTTATAACAGAGCCCTTCCCAATTTGAAAAGAGAAAGGTTGCTGTCCTGGATCCTTTGTGCTAAAAAAAGGGCAAATAGAGAATAATAATCAATAATTCAATGCTAAGATAATTGTATAAGAAACCCCAATTCGACCTTCTGGTAGGAACAATTACTCACCTCCAGAACTTCTCAGACAAATTCCCATTTTTCCCTGCACCATAAATAATAAAAGGAAAATACAATTCACTTCATCATATACAGCACAAAAGAAGCAATCTTTTATCAAATTAGTTTTTTTAGGGAAACCCTTTTGATTATATAAGAAAATATCGACGCTTCAAACAAAAAAACGAAGCAGGTTTTTTTTCAGGCAAAGTGAAAAGCGTGAAATACATGTAAAAGTAACGAAGAGAGCGGAGAAAGAGAGATATCAACCGTAGCCGGTGCAGTGGACGGTGACAGTCTGGCCAGGGGTGGGTTTGGGATCGGTTCCGGGCCTGATGACTTGCTTCTCTACTCCCATTTTCAAGCTTTGATGATCGATTGGATTTTCTTAGGGTACGGGTACTATCTTTGTTGTCGGCGGCGTTATCTGATTGTCAATAAATATACTACAGATATTTGAGGGTATTGTAGGCGGAACGGGCCAGGCCCATTGAAGGGTACTTTAGTTTAAATTTAGATGGTTCAGTTCTGCTGGAGCCCTTGAATTCTTTGTAGTTCTAAAATTTAGTAACCACTTTTGATTCCAAATTTATCTTCTAAGGTCCCCTTGTTGGCATAGTTGCAGGCAAGAAAAGAAGTTAGAGGACCATGTGAGCTTCAGAAATATACATAGAAAGATTCAGGTTCAAGACCGAACTGTGATCTGGTTATAAATCCCTTAGGGCATCGAGCATACCCGTACGAATCCAAATCGATGCCACGATCGATGTTTCGAGTTTGGGACCGAGGATAAAATAGGTTTTAGCTTAGACACAAATGTTGAAAACAACATAATTAACTTTACATATGTATAATCAAGTATCATATTGTCACCAGATGAATAAAAATTACAACACAAAATCAATCTTCAAACACCTGGTCCTCTTCTTTTTCCATATCCCCTTTAATCACAGATACAGAAGCAAACATGCTATTACAACGGAGTAGTTATTCCTTCATATTAAACATTGATAGATCACGTTAACGATTACGAATCAAGCAAATTCTTAAGATAAAAGGATAAGATGGATCAAGAAAGTTTTAGCACCAAAATGATCGGTCCTTCACTAAGACTCTGTTTTTCCCAACCGTAATGCTTCCCTTGTAATCCAATGTCCAATTCTCGAAAGTACAGTCGACAAAGTCGTAATAGCCGCCGTGCAGAGAAAGCACCCCTTTCTTCACCTTTTCTTCTATCCATGGATAAGTAAGCAGGTTTAACAGTGAATTATTGATTGATTCCTGAAAAAAACATACAAGGATATCATCAAATTCCTCATTCGATAGGTGCAGACAACACACACGAAGTCCCATACTTGCGTTGGACGGAAAACAATCGAACTAAAAAGAGAGTGAGAGTACCTTCTCACATTGTGTGCGTTGCTGGTCAAAATCAAGGTTCGAAGCAAACGCCTTTGTACTTAGCTTCGCCTTCTTTCCAATGGTAACCCAACTCCGGATAAAGCTACTGAAACAAGAGAGTTTACCGAAGTAAGCAAACCGTACCGACCACTCGATCTTATCAGAAGATGCTAATGATAGATTAGAGTGCTAAATAAAAGGTGCTTTTGTAAGTAAACCTCGAATCTGCCTCATCTTGCATGCCCATGAGGGCACAAATGCCACGGCAGCAGCTATGACCGATGATTAAAATGTTTTCAACCTGCAAAAGTAATATCATTAGAAGTCATCGTAGTTCCACAGGTGGCATAGCACAACAATATAAAGATCGGGAATGAAGAGAGACAGGGTGGAGTGACTTACTTCAAGCGAGTTCACAGCAAACTCCAGTGCAGCATTAGTTTCCGACTGCCCACTCTGCGCAAACAGAAAAGGAAAGAAAAATGAAGAGAATTTACAATACCAATTCCTAAGTGCAGATGCCGAAGAACTGAAAGGTGAAAATTTACAATATATACCTCATATGTGGGCAACAGATTCGCAACATTGCGGACAGTGAAGGCTTCTCCTGGTTCGAATCCCAAGATGTTTGGAGGACATACCCTTGAATCTGCACAAGCATCACCATAAACTGTTCTAGAAATGGTTAGCAAATAACATGGATCATGGCAAAAAACATGGATCATAGCAAATAACAACTACAATGAATCACTGGAGAAAAAAAATCATTACTTTAGGAGCTTGACCCTTGGAGAGCGTTTGAAAATGTTCCGAGTTTTTCCTGCTCAAACATAGCATTCGATCAAAGGACAGTCCATTACTGATTCAAGGTTAAAACAACTCAGTCAAATTTTTGCAGCTTACATATACTTGTAGCTTTTGAAACTAAGGATTCTGTTTTTCATTTTGTCGAACAAATCACATCCGCTTTCCATTGCTACTAAGCTGTCCTGTTTTTCGTCTTTAAGATCCTGTATTAGCGCCGGAAGCTCGGTTGAAGCCTTCAAGCTCACACCTGTGTTGCTCCTACAAATGTCGGAGACAGACATTTGTTGCAGCATAAAATAGATTTATCAGTCGAACTAAATCCGAAACAAACATACTGCAGACGAGTTAAAAACCGAATCGGAAATCAACTTATCTCTTAAGAGTCAATCCAGAAACTTGCATTGTAGTCGTAATCTTAAATTTGTATAACTTCTCCTATAACAAATTATCAAACAAAACGAAATCAGAGCTCGAACCAACACAAGATCTTAGCGAATCCTCAACTAACTTCCTTGCATGAAAGAAAAAACAAATAATTGTAGCTCATGTGACAAAATCATTTCAGATACACAACCTTAATCCCCAATTTCTAAATCAGTTCAAGCTCTGTTAATGCCATTTAGCAATAGTAAAACTGCAAAATAGTTAATAAACTACTTTATTTCCAAAAACTTAGTTTCTTAATTCATCAACAGTTCAAAACCTTACCTGCTGCAACAATATGAAACTATGAACATAGAAGAAATCTGATGGATCTTTAAAAAGCTAAAAGAAAATAAAAGAGAGAGCCTTTAAGAGATTAAAGGAGAATGCTTTGGTGATGAAAAGGAAAATGAAGGAATTAAATGAAGAAATAGTGAAGAACTAGAAATTGTTGTGTTGGTTGGATCAAACTGTCCTAAACCTCCAAGAAGGACAGAGAAAACTATGTTGAAATGGATTAACTATGTAAGATTTGGACTTGCCCAATTTAGAATATTGTTTGGATTTTGTACTTTCGTTTTCTATTAATATATTAATTGAATTAAATATAGTTTTATCTCATTGGTGTGTAGTTCATTTTTTCCCTTTTTTTTGAACGAGTCAGTACTAGTTTTAATACTGGTTGTCGACCGTATGTATTTTTTATTGTCTTTTTCTTTTGAATATTGTATATTTATTTGCTTTTATTTTTTCTCAATAAGTTTACATATGCTGCACATTTTCATTTGTTTTTATTACACGTTTTCTTATATTTTTTTGACATGTTTTTCGATTCTTTGGTCCTTTTTTCATTTATCTTTGTCATAACTATTTTTACGAAAATCGGTTTAAAAACAATTGACTTTGTTTTCCTGGAAAATAGGGATTTCGATAATTGTAATATAATTTAAAATTTTGTAGTCGTCATCCACCTTTGGGTTATGTAGGTCAAATACTTACAAGTGTGTTTAAAGCAACTTTAATAAAAATTATTTTAAAGATAAAAATTGGTCTGAGTTTACCAAAGATTCATTTTTAAGAGTTCGGGAGTCAATTACGTGTGGGGAAGGGTGAGCACCCTCACAACGTCCAAAATTGATACCTAATCGCTTATACATCGTCGTAGCAGTGAAATTTGTAAATTCAAATCTAAAATTAAAATATGATCCCTTGTATCAAACATTGATTAATTATATACAAGTTCACTTTTTGTTTGAATGTCGTTGAATCGCATTACTCCTGTCGAGTGGTGTTTTTTACGCCCATTCTACGACGAGTGTTCTTGAAGATGAATACAAATGAAAAATAGAATACTTTATAGCTTTGAAATAACTTAGCAAAATGTTCATGTGATAATATAAAGGTCAAAATATTTAGTATTAGCAAACAAATAATATATACAAACGTTTAATGTACAAATGATATAAAATAATACGGTTAAAATATAGATACATAATACGAACATGAAAGAAGGTAGATGGGGTACAAAATCATTTATTATATACATATACGAACATTTGTAAACAAGCAACATAAATGAACATGATTTAATAATAGGTATATATGAAATCATAGTTATGATACATAATACGTATGAATGTTTATATAAAAAATATAAAATACACAGTATTTATCTATATGCATAGGTTACATTTAACATAAATATATTGTAATACATATACACTGAAATGGAAAAAAAAGGCAACATAGAATTAAAAAATAAAAGAACCATCAATCATGGAATAAGTTCAGTAAAATAATATAGTTAATATGTAAACAAGGCAAAGACTTATTTTAAGGCATGACATAGGGTCAAATGAAAACACGGTAAAAATCAAATATTGGCTAAAATACGATAACATACAAACAGTGACCAAGATGAAAGTGAAATAAAACTGAAAGTTCAAATCACAAAAACAAAAAAACTTCATTTGATGACCAAAGTAGGATATTACAAAAGATCAAGAGACCTAAACTACTATTTACCCCTGAAATTGAAAAACACAGTGAGGGAAGTGAAACTATGTCGTTTTCGATATGTGTATATAAACCCGATTATAGGGCTTTTTTCGCATCCTCTCTTATTTTTCATTTTCTGGTTTCAAGAGAGAGAGAGAAACTCTCTATTTTCTCTCGCCAAAGGGGTCACCCACTATTTACTAGCAATCATACCTTCTTCTTTGCTTGAAAACTTCATGCCTAAAGATAACTCACCATTATTTATTGATGAGTAATATCCATAGTCACCGAGATGAGGCATATCCGCAAATTCTGGCTCGTATATTGCACCATAATTAGCTTCATACATGTGTGCAGGAGGGTCAGTTTGTGTCACATTTCCTGGAACTTCATCTACATCATCATCATCGGAGTTGAATTACGGTGATTCTGGGTGAATGAATAGTCCAGTCTCAGCACCATCCGCACCAGGCTCACGAAGCGGTTCTTCTGGTGGAGATGATGGTTCCTCCATGCGCTCCACATTTAGGTCAAGAACATACTACTTGCATGTCTTCCCCTTGAACTAGAAGGCATATCGACATTGAGATCGAAACGCGCAGTCGAATGCCTCCCCCTAGAGCTTGAAGCCATCGTGTTAAATGGAAACTGCACAGATTGTTGCGTCGATGACATCTCCATATTAAGGTTAAAGAAATTTGCAGATGAATGTCTTCCCCTTGAACTGGACGCGGTGTTGCCATACGGATTGTTCGTGGACCCACCTCGGTACATATCGTAAGGAGTTACGGATGAATGTCTCCCCATTATGGCATTAAAATCATTACACATTATTGTAGTCGGGCTGTCAACTTGTTCAACCAGTCCATAGTGGGAGCTTAATGATTGACCCCGAACATCACGCACTTGAACAAAATGTGCATACATCTCAATAGCACGTATGAATAATTACTTTGAGCTTCAACCATCATTTGAACATCATCATTGTTCGAAAGTTCGAATGTTGTATAAGTTAATGGCAACAATGATGTTGGAAATCTGTACTGCAACGATGACATTCTTCTACTACTTCCAACATGAATCTTCCTCGAAATCTTCGTTATCACTCCTCAAGAGTTATGTTTCTCTTGAATGATATTTTAACACGCTCATTTGATACGAAAACAACGCCGGTTTCATCTTCTCGAATTTCACCATCATAATAAACAATAGCTGAAAGTCGCACAATTCTGAGTTTAAAAGTGCGACAATATTATACCTGCAAAAAAAATAACTAAAACAAACCTGATTAAATAAATTATATATGAACGAAAATATAACACAATAAATTTTTTACACATCAACGTAAATAATTTAAATAATATAATATTATATTATTACCTGCACCGCAAAACTATTTCGACGTATGCTCCCGCTTTTCAATTTTACAAATATAAAAATTAATTGAAAATAATTAGTATAATATTTTTTTTAAATAATGATAATAAACAATAAGTATAATTAAAAAATTATTACAAAATTACCTTATAACGAAAAATCGCACGAACTTCTAAATTAAATATGAGAAGATTGCCTAAATTATTACTCGTTGACGGAATTATTGTATTAATTTATAAGTTGAGAGGAGAGAGCGAGAAGATGTGAGAAACTTAACCGGCGGAGGAGGGTATTTATAACTATATAAGGCGCGGTATCTACACCGCGCTATATGTAATTATTCATAAAAGATATAGTGCGGACCAGGGACCGCGTTAAATATAATTCTGGTATAGCGTGGCCGCGCTATACCCCTACGTGGCGTATAGCGCGGATCAGGGGGCGCGCTATACACACGTGTAACCCATGTCAGCATATAGCGCGGTACAGGGGGCGCACTATACCCCACGTGACGCCAAATCATCATATAGCACGGGGCAGGGGGCGCACTTTACTGCTACGGGTATTAGATCGAGAAATATAATCTGACCGGTGTTAGATCGATAAATATACCGATCACCGGTGATTTTTCAAAAAAACACCATCACAAAGCTCCCACCATTCTGCAAAATAAAACGACTTAATTCAAAATTAAATAAATTATTTATTTTAATTTTATAAAATAGTTATTTAAAATTTACAATGTTTAAACTACTCGAAAAATATACACAAATGGGGCGAAAAAAGAAAAACACAGACGAATCTGTGAAAAACTAAAAACCATAATTTCTGACCAATCCCACTACTTGTTTTTCCATTCTGGATGAGCTTGAATAGGTAGGTTCTTTGTTCGTTATTCCTTCTCCTTTCTTACTATCCATGTCTAAGTAATTATCTAAAAATTACTAAAAAAATTATTATTTACGTGATTAACACACTTTAACTAGAATTTATCAAAATGTCACCTTTGCCTCATATCTTTTAGAGATTGTGAATATCAAATGTTAAAAGAATAAAATTGAATAAAAAGTACATAAATTCATTAATATTTATATGGAAAAATACAAAATAAACTTACATAAAATAGAAGACTATTATACAATAGCATAAAATACAATATCAAAAATTAAAATAACATAAAACACCAAATCAAAAATTAAAACAACATAAAATACAATACCATAAATTAAAATACCAAAAAATACAATACTAAAATTACATAATTATGGTTCACAATTGAGAGTGCTAAAAGAGATGGACATTTTTTTATTGTGTTATGAGATTGCTCTTGAATATCTATATCGCAATTATCGCGATCGTCTTTCGGTTGGCGCGAAATTGGACTTTGACTTAGGAAAATTGATTAGGGTCGCCACCGATCATTTATTTTAAAACAAATAGGTTGATCGGATACCTTATTTCTTACCTGATTTGCGTCTTACCA